ACACAGTTCCATCGGTGAGTTTTCCCTGCAAAAACGAATGAATATATAATATGCAAGCTCATGATTCAACAAAATACTAAATGAACACATTATCCCTCATCACATGAACAAATGAAATGAGATTTAAAAATAATAATCCTTAGAGTATCATGTGGTGTTGCCTCTAAAACAAAAACAAACAGAAGCAAGGATAACCAAGTAACACAGCATCAAAATGACTGCAGGTGATTTCCAGTTGGGACTATGTTCCAGATACTATCTCATCTCGTTATTTCAATGGGTTGTATCAGATTATTGCCCAGACTATGAAACATCAAAATTTACCACCAAGTTAGACTAAGATGAAAATACATAGTTTAGTAACATTACTTCTAGAAAGTGACTCAGAATTTTCTCAAAATAGGATAGAAGATTAACCATAAGGTGATATTATCCATCTCATTAAAATCCAGAACAAGGCATGTTCAAGATATAACAACACCGGAGGGAAATTAAAATTGCTAACAGTTATTATTAATATTTTGCATTGTTTATTATATAATATAATATGCGTATATATATATATATATATATATTATAATTGATTCAAATTAGGGTTAATTTTATTGATGAATGATGAGTGAATATTAAACTTGAGAAATTACTCACCCGATAGTGTACTTTGACTTTATCTCCTTTGTGTGCCTGAACTTCACATGTTGCTGGTTTATGCTGCAAAGTGACAGAGCATCAAAACTAAGCAAAAAAGAGGGTACAAAACTTAGTTATGCCGTAACAGACAATTAAAATAACCTTGCCAATGTATATTGACAAGCAATAATTTCAGTATCACTGGAAATTATAAATGTTGCATCATTCACAGGGGAAAACAATTTTTTCCCCATTTTCAATCTCCACAACAAATTGCCAGACATTTCCATTTCTATCCTTACTAACAATCTGCCAATGCTATCTATCACCATGAACTCGTGAAACCTCACAGCAGACAGCGTACATTTGTAAACCGTACTTTGCTTTCTTTCTCTTAAATAATAGTACTTTTCAAGATCACACTATACCACTAGCTATATCTTTCAAAGCTATAGTCAACCTCCGATATTGTATCTATACTTTATTTTCGAAACACAAATCACAGAGCATACTACCACAGTTTTTTTTCTTTTCTTTTGTGAATGATAGTAGTACTATTTTATCTAATAAAATTGCCTAAAAGATCAACTATTACTTTAGCCATTTGACATTTCTAACTCATAATACGGTCACACAATATTCCACCTCCATGCAAGGCTTTTCATTGCACTTTCACGCAAACCAGTTAAGAAGAAACAATACATAACGTCTAAGGACCTGAAGCCATAAGATTTGCATATAATTATTATTTTATATAATAAAAAATACCCTAAACTAAGGAAAGATCACTTGCCCAGTCACATTCCGTAACAAAATTTCATATTGTTCAATGTGTTCACACTCACCGATACCCATTAAATCCATTGGGATCTAGTATCAAATACAAAATATTCCAAAATTTTAACAAAAAGAAAAACTTCATAAACTGTACAACTCACTTCAAACCTTAAGCCTCAACTATAAAAGATGACATGGATCTCAATCAAAGTAACAGGTTAGAGGTTACCTTCACGCCAATTTGCAACTCCGTCACATCCCCGGTTTTCTTCGCACAAACTGAAACACAGAAAAAAAAAAAAAAAAAAACTCAGAACGCGACAATAAGATATCAACGACAAAGAGAAACCGTTAACAGTGGTCAATTAAAGCGCAATGGTGACGAGATCTGAAGTAATAGTGGATCGAACAAGCCGCGAAGAGTGAAGAGGCATAGAAAGAAAGACATGTTGAAATTTGGCACGTGAAAGAGGAAGAGAGCAATACCTAATGCCGAAACGAAGAGGAAGAAGAGAAGAATAGGAACGGAATGTCGGAACCTCATTTTTTCCTCGTAAAGTCAGTCACTCTTTCGTCTCTCTTTCACTCGTACACAGAGTGGGTGTTGTTACTTATTTAATAGGACCAGAAGCGATCCAATTCCTGGCCCAGTGAGTGTGAAGAATTCTGAAATATTCGGGTCACCCAAGTTAACCCCCACCCTTGGTTCAACTCAGATTAGGCTGTCTAGTTTAAATTTGAGAGGACAATATATATTTTTTTTAATTACTAGAATTAAAAATTTTAAATTTTAAATTTGAGAAAAAAAATATATCTCTAAAAATATATTTATAATTTTTTCTTTTGAATATAGTACACAAATTATCCTAACACTAATAATAAAAAACTAATTTGTGCTCATGAGATACAAATCATACCTATTAATTGTATTTTAGTTTGTGCCTTGTGATAAAATTTTATTTTATATAATTAAAATTTCAATAGGTTAAACTTTTGATTCTTTTATTTTTTTTAATATGTAATTTTAATTTCTTTATTTTAAAATAGAGACATAGTCCATTTAATTTTAAAAATATGAAATTTTGATTCTTTCATCAAATTATTAATCATTAAATTTTCACGTTTGTTCATGTTTAATGATGTGATATTTAATAATATAATATTTGAAAATAAAATAAAAAATAAAAAATTTAATAAGATTTATTAATAAAATAAATATTAATTATTCGTTAAAATAAAAACAAATGAAAAAATTTTGTAAATTATTTTAAAATTTTTTTCCTACATGTCACATTATCACCTTATTAAATATCATATCAATTGAGTGGTAATAGATCACTGAACAACATTAAAATCTAATGATCAACAAACATCAAACCGACGGTAAGACTAAAATTTTATTATATAGATTACTTAAATGTTACTCATTGTCAGATTTAAACCCAATTTGACACTCACATAGGTCATTAATTGTCATATTGAGGCTTAAATGTTGCGATTTTATAATTTTTAAGTATAGTAGACGATTACACCAAGCCTTGAGGCCAGTATAGAAGTTGTAGATAATTACCTTAGTTTTCTCGCCATGTTAGACACACTTTTAAGATTCCAAATGCCATGTCAAAGTAAGGCTATCTATCTCACTCACGTTGGATGCAAGATTGATAGTGTTGAGAGTGAGGAGAGAGAATCGTCTCAAATTGAAATGACATTGGGCGTGAGAAGAGAGAATCATCTCAGGTTGGATTGGGGTTGTGCATGGAACTCATTCACACCAGGCTTGAGGTCCTAAGGATTTCTACATAATCCACATCAAACATGGGTTGTGTAGAACATTTTAAAAATAAAGGACTAAAATGAATCTTAAAAATAAGATAAAAAATCAAATATATAATTTAACCTTTTAAATATTATAACATATATTTAGAGAGAGAAACACATTTTAATAGCTTAGAATTTTATAAAATACATTTTATGTTACGTGTCAAATTTGTATGCATGGACTATATGATTGAAAAAATATATATTTATAAGCGCAGTTTGGTTTCATTTGGAACGATTTCACATTTCAATCCAAAAATCAAACTAAATTGCACAAATTTGGAAATTTAAAAATTGAACCGAACTACTAATTTACAATTTTCCATCATTTTTTATTTTTTAGATTGATTTGCAATTTTTCATTTAGATTGATTCAATTTTGAATACTCATAGTTGCAACTAGGGTTGTGATGGGACCATGAAACCCCTTACGTTTAACAAAAGCCACTACTCTCCTAACTGCTTTGGAATGATAAAAAAAAAAAAAAAAAGGTACCACAATATTCACATCGAAATTGATTATAAATATGTAACAGGTGGGATTGCTCAAAAAGCACCCAACCTCACCAAATATGGCTACATTCTAGATAAATATAGAAATTTTCTTAAGTTGTTGTTGTACTATCATGTTGACTTTACTAGAAGGCAAGCCAACCTAGTTGCCTATGCTATTGCTGAAGTGTTTAAAGGGATGATAGAATAATTGATAGATGAAAAGGACAAACCAAATTTTGTCATAGTAGGTGAACCTTGCAAAACCTCACCCCACTGTAATTTACAAGAGTACTTGTCTCTCTGACACAAGGAAGAACGCAACATCCTCTTTCATTTGTGAATAAAGCTAGTAATGGAAATAATACCTCTTGATTTGCATAGAGAGTATCATCTTGATGATTGAATTATGGAGTTAATCAAACAACTCATTTTTGATTTCGAAGATACTTGTCACACTAAAATTGCCATTGAGTTGAGATACGCAAGCACTATAAGAGATTTTCCTTTCATGATTGATACTTCAAGACAACTAGGTCAAGTCTAGACTTGGACCTGATTTTTCTCTTATCAAGTTTATGTTAAAAATTGTGCAATGCAGTGTCTACAAAGGGAAAGAATGACATTCAAAGTATGTCAAGGACATAAGGTATCGTTGCTACGTCAAATCATATCAGTCTGAGGTATCTGGAGTAGACAAAGATTATGTATCTATGCCATGGGAAGAGGCGTTTTACAATCTTCAATTCCACTTGCCACTAGACCCTCTAATTGCAACACTCTATACAAACCATGCCACAATTTTGTTTATTCGTCATCCATTCTATTTCACGTTATTATGATTTACTTGTAAATATTTATTTTGTGTATACATACTTTGCTCCTACTCTTGCACCTATTGTTGAAGACATTTCAGTACATACCTCATCTTCTCACATTGAGCTACAAATACCAAAAAATGTTTCAAAGTTAAAGTCTTTGTTGACCATTTTGGTCTTTGCCCTGATTAAGGGCCATCGTCTACAAAGTAAATTTGATTAGATATATTTTAAGTTGCTAAGAAAGCTCCAAGTGGATTATTAGCTCAGATAATGAATACTCCACTTTAGACTAGCCTTTTTTTGTTGGTGGCAAAAAGGAGGAGAAGGAAAAGAATTAAGAAGAAACAAAAAAGAGAAAGGAGTTTAAATGTTTTTATGTTTTTGAACACTATATGCCCTATTTCAAGGGACCCTTTCTTTTCAAACTCTCTTTTAACTATACACATGGCATGATCTTTGATATATATATATATATATATATATATATATATATATATATAT